TAAGGGAAACCATGGCACCTATGTTTCTTTGGACCTAGCTTACTTCACTTAATATAATTTTTCCCAAGTCTTTCCATTTCCTAACAAATGAGGCAATGTCATTCTTTCTGATGGAGGCATAGCATTCCATTGTGTATATATACCACATTTTCTTGATCCATTCATCTACTGAGGGGCATCTGGGTTGGTTCCATATCTTAGCTATGGTAAATAATGCTGCGATAAACATAGTTGTGCTGGTAGCTTAAGGAGGCAGAAAATATAGCTCTGCTTGGAGAGGTTTTGGTTACAGGTCAAAGGGCACATGCTAAGGGGCAGTTAACAACACATCAGGAAGTAGTAAGGTAAGTACACACAGGCACTCATCTTGGCTTTTGATAAAATAACTATGGAAAAATCAAACACTTAGAATCCTGTGTCTTTACTCAGACATAAGGTAAGCAATCGCACAACCAGCAGGTTTCCGCTGTCATCAGGCACTCTCGGTGCACACCATCTACTCCTGTACCGGTATAGCTCCCATGAGGCCCTGGGGTCCTCACAGGAACCCTTGATTTTAAGCTGGACATCTAGCATTTGCCTTCAAGAGCCATGACTCGGGGATATCAGATCTCATTAATGCCAGGAATGCCAGTACAAGAAAGCTTATGTGTAGGGCAGTGCTGGTGCTGGAGCTGAGCAGCAACATGCAAAGAAGTAAATAAATAAATGAAATGAAAAGTCTGTGGCTCTCACAGAGAGCCATGAAGTTGAATGCTATTTGAAGGTTAGCCTCTGGCTCCATTGCATTGCTTTGGAAATGTGTTTACTTCTGCCCACTCAGATACATCCCACAGCAGAGGGCATTAAGTACCAGGAATTTTGCAGGGAGAGAAAGAGAAGTCAGTTCCCAGCAAAGCTCATGGGCAGCATCAGTAACTCAGTGCTACTCAAGGCTGGCCATGCTCATACAAGGCATCTCAGACCAAATGTCAGGAGCCCTGTGAGGGAATCCCTCCTTTGTGAAGACTTTTGGAGAAGCCTAGACTTCCATAAACCTAATTTCCCTGCCATTAAATATGAGGACTTTGTTCAATGATCTAGAAGACATCTTCCACACTCTCTGTTGCTCTAACCTGGCCATACCTTGTTTGAAGCAGATGGATGAGGTAATGCTGCATTAGCAAAACCTCAACCTCCCCCCTTACATTGATTGGTTACGTTGATTAGTTCTTCATGCAAAGCCATATGTAGGATTAGAGCAACTCTGTTGAGAAATCACCTTTCATATAGTAAGTCTCCTGTCCAGGCTGCTACTAGTGCTTCTTAGTTACCATCTGGAATACCAGATCTCCTAAATCATATCTGAGCTTTGTTCTGACTCCACTCAGAAATGGTATATGCCATTTCCACTCTGTTTGCCCCAATGGGTAGAAGAGGAGAAACAGGAGAAGTGCTGAGAAGTAGAATCTGACATGCGCTGATAGGGAGCAGTACTGGGTACTAGGTACTGGTCAATGCTAGTAATGCCTACACACAGTCTCCAATCAGAGGCAAAGACTTATTTTTCCAGATGCTTCCTAAGTCGTTCTGACAATGGAGGACAATAAGAAAGATACTTCTATGCCCGTTTTACCAGTGAAAAGATGTGCTCAGAGAAGTGGATCAACTTATGCAATGCCACAGAGCTGCCTAATGTTTGGGACAGCCCTGGACCCTATGCCTCACACTCTGCCCTTCTTGGTGATTAAAATAATACAGTTTATTTTTATTTTTGTTGTTACCTTGAAATAGTTACACAGAAGGGTAGAATTCTTGGAGCAGGGTGTTGGTGGCTCTGATCTGTAATCCTGGCTACTCAGGAGGCTGAGACCTGAGGTTTGTAGTTCAAAGCCAGCTTGGGCAGGAAAATCTATGAGACTCTTATTTCTAATTAGCCACCAAAAATCTGAAAATAGAGCTATGGCTCAAGTAGCAGAGTACCAGCCTTGAGTGAAAAAGGAACAGTACCCAGGCCATCCTATTTCTTAAGAAGAGCATGCAAAATAGGAAAGAAAAAGGAGCTCCCAGAGATGAAAATAAGAGCTTAGATCTGTATTAAGTGTTGCAGGGGTACATGGAAAGTGCAAGAAAGGACAGGATTGTGTAGAAAAAAGAGGTACCACTGTCCTAGACTCCTCTTTGATCCCTTCTGGCTCACCCCTTGCCCTTGCTTAGAGGCCGAAGTGGGCTCAAAGCTCTCCTAAAACAAATGTTGAACCCTAACTTCATAAAACAACCCAAATGGATCCAGTACCCCTGGATCATGGACTCCTTGAGTCCAGTGACCTTGGCTGCTTGTTTCCATGGTAACAGCTCACATCCCAAACTGTTCCTTCCTGTGTGAGAGAAGGCATTTCAGCAATAGAGGAAGACAGAATTCAACTGTGGAGTGTTTTTTTCCTCTCTCTCTCTCTCTCTCTCTCTCTCTCTCTCTCTCTCTCTCTCTCTCTCTCCCTCTCTCCCTTTGTTATGACCCTTCTCCTTTAGCAAATCATGTCCTTTTACTGAGCACTGCAGTCTCCTGAGAGAAGCTCAGAAGAAAATGTTTCTGTGACTTTATTTGCAGATGCAAGCCCAGGCCACAGAGTTAAAAGGAGCAGCCCGAAGCCTCTTTTCCTCCAGTTTCATGTGATGCTCAGTGTTTCTCAAGGCAGTTCGCTTTTCATTTTCATGAACAGTTCCCCAAAGAGAAGGGCCAGTGTGTTGTCCTCAGGTTAAAAGAGAGAGGTGGGGAGGTTAGGCAGCTCCCCAACAGCCACCAAGCGCACAGTAGCCGTGAAGTCTAGAAAGCCAGACACAACAGGTCCGAGCATCTTCAGCCTCCCCTTACGCATGCCCTGCCCTCCCGCCGTGCAGCCCAGCCCGCACCTCCACCCCGTCTACTCCTGTCTCCCCCAGCCCTGAACTCTGCCTTCAGCCCCATCCTTGACTCCACCAAGGAGGATTTGAAGGAACGGGTATGGAACAAATGTGAGGTCTGGATCTGGAATTTAGATGACAGGGTTCTGCCCGTTCCACAATGTCTCGGGTAAGAACAGCACTTTTACAGGATGATGAATGACCTTTCTTCAGCTGAGCCCTGCAAGAACACATCTGATGACCACACACCCTCCAATCACAGCTCCCAGCGCACCATGGAGTGCACTTTCCACCAGGACCATGAGCCAAGAGCACTCATTCCTTGGCTCGATTTCAGTCCTTCCCTTCCCGGTAGTTTAGATCCCATGATTCTGTCCACGAAAGAAATCTTCTTCTCCGCAGCATCCCTGCCTGACTCTGACGTACAGAGGTGTAATTAGAGCAGTAAGGAGCCAGCAGGGCCTTCCATTTATCTCATTCCTTCACATTGAAGTGCTTCTAAATATGCTTCTAATATCCTAGGTGCACAGGCCAGAGTCCTTTCTTGCTTTTTCACATGCATGAGTAAATCCACACAGACTAAACCCCTGGGGCTTTAGGTTCTGCTTAGAAGTTCTTTTTTTTTTTTAAAGAAAACAAATATTCCATTAAAACGACATAGTGTACTCTGCATATTTTTAGGACAATTAGAGTTTAGAATTCCCTCTTCTTCCGCCCATGGTAAGAAAACTTTTTTGTCTTAACTATTTCCTGACCAAGAATGTCCCAAAGCTTGGATAAATTGAAAGAATCTCTTGTCTTTTGAGACAAGCTTCTCAACCAGGCACCAGCAGCCATTGCCAGTAACTCTAGCTACTGTGGAGGCAGAGATCTGAGGGTTGTGGTTCAAAGTCAGCCCAGGCAGGAAAGTTTTATCTCTAGTTAATCAGCTAAAAGCCAGAAGTGGATGTGTGGCTCAAGTGATAGAGTGCCAACCTTAAGCAAAAGAGCTCAGGGACAGTGCCCAGGCCAGAAGTTCAAGCCTCAGTACAAGCATAATATTATTAATATTACTATTAATAATAAATAAATCATCTGTTGTCAAATATCTACTGATGGACTGAGAACCCTTGACATTATTTGGAAAATACCTGGCTGTCTCATTTCAATACCAGGTAAATTTGTCAGGTAAATAATAACTATGTGTAAGCTTAAAGAAAATTGAGCTTGAAGTAGAAAAGCCAAACTCTTAGGAAACAGAGAACTATAAAAGTGAGGATACTTTATACCATCTGCTTGGTTTAAAAAATGGGTCACAGGTTTTGGTGATTTTTCTTTAGTATTTCTGACTGAGGTGGAGGAGGGATACTTTATTAAAAAAAAAGAGGCTGCACAGGCTAGCCATGTCTCAGCCCTGGGCAAAGAGATACAGAAAGACAAAAGAGAGGAACCTACAAATGAGACTTAATAGGGAGGAGACAGGGAAAGGAAGACATAACCCCAACTAATCATCTCTGTGCTTCGCCGTGCCCATACTGTTGTCCTGGTGTAGACCAGGCAACACCCTGCCCATGAGCCCGAGATGCTGGGCCACACATGTAGATCCCCGCTGCCAAGTCGGCATGCAAATCAAATGTTTGATTGCAACCAAATTTGGAACAACATCTTAACAGCACTTGCCAAGTCTCCACTCAGTCCAAAGACTGCAGAATTGATGCAAAACTATCCTCCTCGGCTTCTTTTCCATTCATTGCAAAGCCGAGAAAAGCCCATATCAGAAAGTGGGAGAGCCATGGTTCAGGAAGAAAAAAAATGTCTGACTTGGAAGATGAATCAAATCCAGGCATTACTTGAAGCATATGGCTGTGATGTTAAAAAATAAATAAATAAAAACAGCCACAACTAAGAATTAGGGAAAAATGGAAAAGAATGATGGACATGGCTGGTCAAGATGCATTGCCCTCACAAACTGACACGTTGAATGGAAACCCCTTTGCACTTAAAGGTAATGACCACTGTACTTGCAAACTGACATATTGAATGAAAACCCTTTTATAGTACTTAAAGATATTAAAAGGCAAGATTAAAGACAAACTTTAATCCAGATATCATACCAAAGTTTGAAAGAAAGCACTCAAGACTTCAAAGGGAAAACTGTGTTTATTTAAATTAAAAAATATTGTGAAAATTACAAACCATTAAATACAAAAGACAATTTTGTACAACTCAATAGAATAAGAAGGAATTATATACATCACTTGTTAATAGGCACAAAGATAGACTTGCACCGCACTTTGAGAATTAAGCAATGGAAAATGTGACTGCCACAGCACACATGCTTGTCGCAGTAAAATTTCAGAATTCAAGTGATTCCAGGCAAGAGGCCAAACTTAACTTGGCTTCTTTCAACTTAAATGGCCCTCTTTGGAGCAAATCCACACTCTGAATTTTAAAGTGAACAGAGGGCCCTCTTCCCTCCCCCACAAAGAAACATAAATTTCCTCTAGCCCTGTGTCAAAGCGACAGATAAACCTGCTTCTCCACTGTTAACCCTTCCCTGGAAACCATAGTGAACGGGATATCTTCAATCTAGGAAGAAAAACAATAGTTTGTTTGTGGGGGGTTTTGTTGTTGCTGTTTGCTTTGCTAGAATTAAACTTGACCTTTCGGTATGCTCTTCTTCTCCATCTTTCATGTCTTCACAGGCAGAAAGGGTCTGCTACAAAGCTATGGAGCACAAGAATGCATGTTGGCGTTGTCAAACACTCCTGAGCGTTTCCTGGATGACTCCTTGGCCCCTCAGCCATGAGTGTGAACATCGCATCAGTCCAAGGAGCAACGGTGTTGAGGAAAATGTGGTCACTGCCTCTTGAGTTCCAATCCTGGGAAAACTACAGCAGAGATGGTTGATGATTCTCTCCAAATTCCCCAGTTACATGTATTTAGAGTCTCCAACTGCTCCTTTAAATCAGCAGATCCTTTTCCAGACTTAACTGGCCAAAGGGGAAATGTTTGGTCCAAGCTTCCTCACACCAGGCTATAAAGGATTTGTCACAGAGTCCTAAATCTAAAGACATCTCCCAGCCCCCTGGGGCTGCACATCCGCGGGAGCCTCATGAAGGCAACGAGCCTCAGGATGGTATGCCCGAGACCACACAGCAAATGCACATCAGGGCATCTGCAAGCACAGAACTTGGACCCCAGCTCTAAGCTATTGCTGCCTGAGCATGCCCTCCCTGCTAGGCTTCAGCTACGTGACAAAATACCACGTTGTGAGGACCCACAGTGGGTCTTCCTTCAGTTCAGAGAAGCAGGCTGGGAAAATGAGAACAGGCGATGTGAATAGCTTCGTCTTACACAACCTTACCATTACCCCTTCTGGAAGGACCAGAAGGAGCCCCTTGCACACCAATTCAGAATATAGATTCCTTTCTAAGGAAGATCTCTAACCAAAAGAAAGTCATACCAGCATGAGAAGCTGGATGGTCACAAGTCAGAGAGTTCAAGCTCCTAGGGGAGGCAAAAGATCAAAATAGCAGATCATCTCTTATGACAGCCCCTCAACTAAGGTTAATAGGTTTAATAATGGCTTTCTTTCCTTCGAATATGCAAACAGGCTGGTTTCAAAAAATCCAGCTTTTACCTACCAAAAATCTTCCATCAAATGTCCATCTCTGAGCCAAAAGACCTCCAAAAAATTCTTGTAACACTCTGTGATCTAATGCCACAGGTACACAGTAGAGATACTTACAGCCAATCAGATCTAGAAGAACAAAGTTCCAGGCAGATTAGCAAAGCAGAACTAGTCCCTCTGCCTGCCTTAGGCATTTGACAGGTCTGGGAATTAGAAGATGCTGTAGAAGTTTCCAAAATCATCCAGTGAGAAAATGACAAGCCATCTTGCAGGCAAATTCTGAACAGGGTCCCCAACACCTAGACCCCAAAGGACATATACACCCTGCACATCTTTAGGGGTTTTTTTTCTTTTTTTTTTCAGTAGTGGGGCCAAACCCCTGGCACTTCCAGGACTCTGACTGAGCCTGGTTCACCGGGCCCCTCCTTTCATGTTGGAGATTTGCCAAGGGTCTTTCAAAGTGACCGCCGCACTGCCAGAGTGAGAGCAGACACTTGGAAAACGTCTTTCCTCTTTCTCAGGGTGACGGTGGCTTGGTGGGTCTACCTCTGGAGGCCGAGGGGGGTGCTAGGAATTCTGGTGAATGTTCTCCGAGGAGCCTTCGCTGCTTTCATTGAGAGGCGTCTCAGAAGTCTCCTCCAGCTCGTCGTCAGCGCCCTCCTCCTGGATGGTGAGGTGCACATCTGGAGAGGAGGACTCAGAGCTCACACTGTCCCCCTCCATGGAGCAGAGGGTGCAGGACAGGGCCGGCGCCACACTCTCCTGCAGCATGTTCAGCATCATGGGCACCGGCACTGACCTCAGGGGCAGGGGCTTCATGACCTCCCCCCACAGCCTCTCCTCATCTTTGTAAAGCAGCAGGAGGCTGGACTTCTTCTTCTCTCGCCTCTTGGATTTCATGTAGCCCAACATGATTCCGATTAAGAAAACGCCATAGAAGGACATGACCACGAGAATATAGAAGTACTCGTTACCATGGCTGCTGCTGACCGCATGAGACCCCATGGGGCTGCTGGAGGCCGCAGCGTTGGGGTGTGTGCTGTTCAGAGGCTCCATCCTCAGCATTGACGCAGCGCTCACACAGTGGTGATCTGGGGAGAAAGTTGCACCACGTTAGAGCTCTCCCCTAGACCACATGTTCAGACAGGAAGGTGAACACAGGGTTTGCAGACTGGAAATATCCTCTCCCACTCCCCCCCAAAAATAATTATAATTGCATAAAGGAAATAGCAGTCAAGAAGTCCCACCAAACAGTTAACAGCTAAGTTAGCTATGACAGCCAGGAGAGTGTGGGGGAGAATCCAAGGGGAGGGGAAAAAGAAGAACTTTCATTTTTAGTCGATTCACATCTACTGTATTGGATTTCATAAAGCGAGCATGTGTTCCTATATCCTTAAAATGTTAAGTGTTTAGACAGGAAGCACAGAGAAAAGAGTATCTTACACAATTGCAAGGCACCCTGGAAAGGACAGCACACTTCTTCCCTTTGCTTCTACAGCTTAAACTTTTTCATTCAAAGCAAAGTTCCCTGAACACGAATACCAAAAAAAAAAAAAGAAGCCAAAAGAAAAGAAAACTGCATCTACTCCTCGTTATCCATATTACTCTTGCAAAATGTTTCTGAAGCCAGTTTGCAATGCTGACTTACCACAGGCTGACAATTTGTCCCGAGTATTGAATTCCTAAATCAGCAAGTTCAAGAGTGATCGTCTTCTGGGTCCAGCTCTGCACGCACTCTGACAGCTCCGCTGCTCTGGTGGGGATATATAGTCAAGAAATGCATCGTCACGTGTTCTGGGAGGAAAATTTACAACAGAGGTTGACGGTGGCCGAGTGAGCAGTGAACTCTCCAAGCCTGCAGTTCAACTCACCAAAGTTTGCAGCTGTGTAAAGAAAAGGGCTGAGAATCAAGAACTGTCTCCTCCTGTCCCAGGGTGCAGCCAAAATGTTCAGGTGGCCATGAAAGCAAGTAGAAAGACAAGACAAGCAATGGCTACGGTCAAGTGTGAGCCTTAGTCCATCCTCATTGAAAATGCGCCGATGCTTGCATTTCTTTACAGGAACATAAACATTACATTACCTATAGTTTTACAGAGGCAATCACATCCCATAATCTGAATGATGATAGTTGGAAGCAAGTTTGAAAAGTACAGTCAAGAAAGAAGGGCTTAGCCAGGCACCAGTGGCTCATACCTGTAATCCTAGCTACTCGGAAGGCTGAGATCTGAGGATCGTGGTTCAAAGTCAGCCTGGGCAAGAAAGTCCACAAGACTCTTATCTCCAATTAAACACCAGAAAACCAGAAGTGGTGCTGTGGCTCAAGTGGTAGAGCACTAGCCTTAAGCTGAAGAGCTGAGGGACATCGCCCAGGCCCAGAGTTCAAGCCCCACAACTGATCAAAAAAAAAAAAGGGGGGGGAGGGGTTGAGCAAGGTGCCAGTGGCTCATGTCTGTAATCTTGGCTACTCAGGAGGCTAAGATCGGAGAATCGTTGTTCGAAGCCAGCCCAGACAGAAAAGTCCATGAGATTCTTTATCTCCAATAACTACTCAGAAAATCTGCAAGTGGGGGCTGGGAAGGTGGCTCAGTGGTAGAGCGCTTACCTTGCATGCATGAGGCCCTGGGTTCGATTCCTCAGCACCACATAAGCAAAAAGGAAAAAAGCCAGAAGTGGCGCTGTGGCTCAAGTGGTAGAGCGCTAGCCTTGAGCTGAGGAGCTGAGAGACAGCACCCAGGCCCAGAGTTCAGGCCCCGCGACCGGACCAAAAAAAAAAAAAAAGGAAAAAAAAGAAAATCTGCAAGTGGTACTGTGGCTCAAGTGGTAGAGCATTAGGAGCTCAGGGACAGAATCCAGGCCCTAAATTCAAATCTGAAGACCTACAAAAAAAGGGAGGCCTTAAATTTCAGTTCTTCTATTAACTATGCAAATCTTATAAATCCTTCCAGAAACTTCTCCCTCCTAAGAATCTGATCAAGTACAATTAGTGGGTACAGGGGTATAGAGGAGGGGAAACAGTTAATGCCTTCAGCAGATAGAATATGAACCATATGATTTTAAAACTCCTTTTAGCTTAACTGCTCTAAGACTGAAGACTGGCTGGTGTGGGTTAGACTTTTTTTTAAATCATAAAAAGATCCATTTGGGTTGTTTTATGAAGTTAGGGTCCAATATTTGTTTTAGGAGAGCTTTGAGCCCACTTCGGCCTCTAGTCAAGGGCAAGGGGTGAGCCAGAAGGGATCAAAGAGGAGTCTGGGACAGTGGTACCTCTTTTTCTACACAATCCTGTCCTTTCTTGCACTTTCCATGTACCCCTGCAACACTTAATACAGCTCTTGTCATCTCTGGGAGCTCCTTTTTCTTTCCTATTTTGCATGCTCTTCTTAAGAAACAGGATGGCCTGGGGACTGTTCCTTTTTCACTCGAGGCTTGGGGTCTCTGCCACCTCTGATGCCCACTGGGTTCTGCCCATATGGATGTTTCTACCAGAGATCAGTGAAGCAACGCAAGCAAAATGCTGAGTGACTCTGCCAGAAGAGCCAGAAGACCGTGCTCAGTTTATGATTTTTGTTTTCACGTTGACAGTACCCCATTGCTGCCAAGGGCTCCTCATCGCTTCTGATGACCACGTCTCTGTCTCCAGCTTTGCCATTGCTGCTCTTTCCCCTTCTGTTCTTCCATTACCCCAGGAATGAAATGTTTGCAAGCTCATAACAATTAGCTCAGCATTCTCTCCAGCTCTCTTTTAGTACAGTGTGAACAAAACAGTGCTGGCAAACAATGGCATAAACAAAAACCATCTAGAAAGTGCATTCTGCACTCAAATTAATAATTACATCCACTGTACATCATAGCTGCAGAAGACAACAATATTAAAGAAGTAAATCTACTGGTTGCTATGCAGGATTCTGAGATCTGTGGACTGAAGTATGAAGCCAAAAAAGGGTGGGAAGTAGAGCTGAGTAGAGCTGTGGCTCAAGCAGTTGAGCTCCAGTGAAAAAGCTCCCAGTGAAAATAGCACCCAGGCATGAGTTCAAGCCTCACTACTGGCGTACAAAGAAGGGAGGGAGGGAGAGAGACAGAGACAGACAGAGAGAGAGAAGGAGGGAGGGAGGAAGGGAGGGAGGGAGGGAGAGAGAGAGGGAAGGAGCGACAGAGAGGGAGGAGAGAAGGAGAGACTAAAAGAGAGAGGTAAGAAGAAAGGGAGGAAGGAATGAAGAAAGGAGAGGAGGGAAGGGAGATGGAGGAAAGGAGAGAGGGAAGAAGGCAGGGAAGGGAGAAAGGAAGGAAGGAAGGAAAGGAAGGAAGGAAAGAAGGAAGGAAGGAAGGAAGGAAGGAAGGAAGGAAGGAAGGAAGGAAGGAAGAAAAGAAAGAAAGAAAAAAGAAAGAAAGAAGAAAGAAAGAAATCATCTTATAAATACCTTTTTCTAATCTGTGACCTGTATTTCTATTTGCTTAGCATTCTTTTTTGGCAGTACTGCAGTTTTAACTCAGAGCCTTGAACTTGCTAGGTTGGCTTGACACTCTACCACTTGAGCCATGCTTCTACCCCTGCTTTTCATTGATTATTTTTGGTGATGGAATCTAGCAAACTTTTCTGTCTGCGCAGTATGATCCTCTGGCTGAGCTTCCTCACAAGCTATGATTACTGGCAGGAGCCACTAGTGCCTGGTTTCACAGTGCCTTTAAAAGAGCAAACGTGTCTTAATACTGATGAAGTCCAACTTATCAAAATTCCTTATGGTTGTGTATATGAGTCTTCTCAGAAATGTTTGCTTAACCCCAGATCATGAAGATTTTCTTTTACAAGGTTTATAGTTGCTTTATATACTTAGAATTATTAATCATTTCAAGTTAATTTTGTTGTATGATGCAAAGCATTGAGTAGAAAAACTTTTTATCTTATGGAAAGCCTGTTACTCCCACAACATTCATTGAAAAGGCCATCTTTTCCCTGTTGGATTATCTTGGAATTTTTGTCAAAAAAATTGTATATGTGCAGTTAACCATATATGTGCAGGTTTATTTCTGATCTCTATTCTGCTCATTTGATCTACCTTGGTGTCATTATGGCAGTACTCTAAAAAAAAAAAAAAAAAAAAACAACTATTTTCAACTAACAGCTTAAATAAGTCTGACTACACCATAATCAATATCTAGTTTAAGTGTCTATTGTGAGCCAGATTCACACCAATCCTGAGAGGTAAGTATGATCACAAGCCAAGAAAACCAAAGGACAAAAGGCCTAAGCAAACTATTCAAATCATGCCATTAGTGACAAAGTAGGAGTTGAACACAGACCTATGCAATTCTAAAACCCTCTTGTTTCCACACCTTTGTCTCATTGAATGGGACCCAAGAAAGAAAGAAAGAAGTAGAAAGAGGAGGGCTGATATCTTTATAAATCTTTCAGTTAAAACATAACTTAAATTCTACTGCGTGTATATCTGAATACAACATGTTTTCATTTTTAAAAATGTAAATTCATAGTTATTCAGATACTCAAACATAAATGTGGAATGTGCCATCCGAGTTACTTTTTCTGAATCCATGTGGTAGAGGCTGCAGGTCTCTTAGCATCTTCTAGAATCTTCCAGTGACACAGTGATACCAGGACCCTGTATTTATGCTTGTATACACAGCTCAGCTCTGTCTTCTTGTTTTGATGTTCTTTTCCTTCCTTTTTTTTTTCCTTTTGCTTGATCCTGACACACTTTCTCTAGAGCTTGGAGTACTTTCATTTCCTGGTAACGTCATTTTCACCAAATGACCCAGGAGTCCCTGGCCACACATCTCTGAAATTATGTTAACAGCTCCTCTGACTAAACAAAGTCCGGGCTGGGATAACAGCACAGCCACGAATCTCATCAGATTAAACACAAGTCTGGAGCCCGGAGATCTGACCCAGCGCAGACGCTCCCCGGCTACGTGACTGGCTCCGTTGCATAATTTCTCTGCGTTTCAGTTTAAGCCACCCGCAGGCATGTCAAAACTCCAATCAACAACTCTGCCAAGATCCTTAGAAATGTCCCATGATCCAACAGGCGACGCCCCTCCTTTCCAGCAGATGAGGCTGCAAGTGTGGCCAAGCCCTGCCAAATGCAATCGTCCGTGCCCACCCCTGGCCTGGCTCTTCCCAGAAACGCTTTCGGCAAAGTGTCTGGGAACGCTTGTGGTAGGTCTTCCCTCGGTCCCTGAGTCACCCTTCCTGGACACGTGCTTTCCAGCAGTCCTGACACTCGAAATAAGCGCTCTGTATCTGCTGGATACTTACAAGACCCCTAGACCCTCCCTCTAATGCGCACTGTCTCAGGAGGATATGGTTGTGACCGGGACCTGCTTGGACATTATCCAAAAAGGTCAAGAGAGAAAAGTCCAGAACTGCTGAAACTAAAGCAAAGGGATACCGTTAACTCACATCTACTGTGTATTATGCATTACTTAACAAATGCCCGCAAGAGTAAAGTGTCTCAGGAACTACTTTTACTCTTCATAAAATACCTGGGAGCTAGGCTCTGTTACCATCTGGATGCCAGAGGGCATCCAGAACCACACAGCTGGTGGGTGGCAAAGCTGGTACTAGAACACAGAGCTGAGGAACGAAAAGGACAATAGGATTGTCAGTATCTCTGTGGGCCTTTCAGATGCTGAGGGAGGCAGACAAGAATCCAAAATAAATGGGCTATCCATAAATTGTGTGAGAGTGATAGACAGTGAACAAGTGCAGCAGC